CAAAATACTTGCCTCAAAAGTAAAAATGCACAGTTTACCCAACAATGAGAACAGTTCCTGAGGAAAGGTAGTACAAAATGAGCTCAGGGCGTCTTTTCATTGTTATGTCCCAGTTGGCAACTTCTACTGTGCCCTCCACGGTGTGAGTCACATGCAGCCAGGCATAGGCAAGCTGAATTAAAATGAAATGACGTGAACATTAGTGCAAGTCCCTGAGCAAGTACATTACGGGCCCCTTAGGGCCACTGGTGACCGAGGCAGCTACGGGGAGCTGTAACCATCACATTAAGCTCTATCCGAGCTACTCCTTCCAACATCTGTTTCTAGAACAGGTTAACTCTGCAAAGGTATTGCTGATGCCCAGTGGCCTGGTCAAGCTGACATGTAAAACTACTCATCACAGGGTTAGAGCTAAGGGCAGAAATTTAAGGGAACGTGAAAGACAGGTGTTCGTCAGAGACAAGGGCGCCAAGGAGAAGCAGGCAGCCCCCCACCACCAGAAACAAGTGCCACCTCCACCCAAGACCTTCCCCCCTACGCCCAGGGCTCTGCCTCAGAGGTGAGAGTTGATCCAACACGCTCATTTCATGCTCACTAGGGGTCAGGCCCCGGCCTGGCAGAGTACTCTTCAGTCTAAGCGTCGAGGATGCCGGTAACACTGGCATGTGGTGTGGGACGACTGAAGGACAAGAATGCAGAATCCCACCCCAAGTCCTGCCTGTGCAGCCCATCAAGGGCTCAGGGTGTAGATGATGTGGGTGGGGGCAGTAACAGTGGAGGTCCCTCTGCTGGGGTGCTCTGTGCTACAGAGGCTCCCCCATCCCAGACTCCGTTAATGTTACGGGCATAGGAAAAATCCGGTATCCTCTGACTGGACTGACGGAATCCGATCTGGGAAATCAATCTGATTTGGGGAATCTGAGTCCAATTCCAGTGTATTCAGCAGACAAGACACCCTATAATGAGGCCTCATGTAAAGGTCGCCTCTCCACTCTCCAGACCCCCACCCCCCCCCGGCTCTTTGTCCAGTCCCCGGCTGTTAGGGCTAGTTCCTGACTTCTTCTTCGCCCACTCTTCCTTTCTCACGTTCTTAGGCTTCAGCCTTTTCCTTAGAACCAGCTGACTCACCCAGCTCGTGCAGAAATGATGAATATGATGAGAAATACTGGGATGACTCAACCACTCAGAAACTTAGGGATCAGAGGTCTTAAGGAAAAAAGCTTCTCCAGGCCCTGAATTCATTTCTAAGTCCTGTGGGGCACCTGCCACAGAATTCTACTCCCCTGTCCCGGGCCACCCTGTACCTCAACTCAGGAGGCTCTGAGTCATAGTCCTCATCACCACGCAGCCCCAGGGCAGCAGCTGACCTGAAAGTCCCACCCCGTGCAGAGCCAGCTTCCTTCCTTCAGCGTACTCTCTCTCTAACCCAGGTGACTAAGGCAGGGGCTGAACGCAAGGGGCATGCCCATCCGACCCCAGGTCCCGTGTCAACCAAGCCGCTAACTGCAGTGACACCAACCGCAGCAAACACGCCCTCTCTGTAAAATGAGGATGATGATGATGAACTCTCTGGGTGGCCATGGGATCTGGTGTCGGTGTGGCGGCAGGTCTAAGGTGGAGTGGGGCTCACAGGAAGCGTGAAAGCTCATCTGTCAAAGACTGAGGAAGGCCACGCTCCCTGTGTCAGGGAAGCAGGCCTGTGGGGAACTAAAAGGAGACCTTCCTTGTTCAGGCTTCACGATTTTTGAATTTGTGAGGGTTTCCAAAGGCTGGATTGGTGACATCGTTCACAAAGTCAATGAAAAGAGTGAACAGTGTCCAAGGCGGTATTCAGGCTTTGTACAAAAAGAAAAACAGTTGACAAGAACCCTCCTGATCTTTACTTTCCTGGCTGGTGAATCCCCAACCACTGACTTACTCAGTAAGGGCCTCTGTTCTACAGCTCAGGACTCAGTCCTGGCTGATTTCGCTCCATGAAGTGATGAATGGGATGTTTTTCATGTCCAACACACAGGCTCTTCACTGTCCTGGCAGGCTTGGTCTGGCTTGGGGCTACCTGTGTGAGCATTCCCTCGAAAGCCCACCCCGTCTCTGCCCGGCACAGATGCCTGGCTGTTGGAAGTGGGGCAGGCAGGGCATACAGTCCGTACTGTTACATTTTCTGAAGGTGCGGCTGCCAGAGCCCCTCAGGACGACACACACTGAGGCCACCACATGGGCCCTGCACGTCCACATCATCCCCAGGAGACCCTGCCTGCCCTGGCGGCCTTCCTCTGAGCTCAGGCTTCCCTGGCTCCCCAACCCATCAGCCCAGAAGGTGCCTGCCTCCCAGTCCTCACCCCCCAACACCTGGCAGCCTCACATTCTCAGGGGGCCTGGGAGGGAGAGCAAGGGAAATCTTGCCCAGTCCATCCTTTTCCAACTCACATGGCTGACAAAGAAGCCATGGAACTGGGGAACAGGTTTCATCCTGATGCCAGAATGGAATGGCTCAGTCTTTACAAAACAAACAAAAATCTGGCTTTGGGGACCAGACGCTGCCTGCAGCGAGAGTGGCCTTCTTTCTCCCTCGGTCTACTCTGGAAGGTGTCAAGAATGCTGCTTGCACTCCCCAGTCCAGCACACTTTTCCTACCTTCTCATTTCACCTCTCTCAAGCCACAGATGGCGCCAGCTTCCCCTCAGCCAGGCACTCCACTCTCAGCTTCAGACAGGCGGTCACCAGCCAGGGCCAAGCCTGCCCCCCTCATGACCCTCCCTCCCACAAGAGGGCGTGCCAACAGCCTCCTGAGAGCATCCAGGCCACTTTGGGTGGGCAGAGCCTCTGGGGGAAGAAAAGAATCCACAGCACACATCTCCATGGCAACCAAATACACAGGCTGCCCAAGGAGCAGGTCAAGAAAAAAGGGGACTTCACCAGACCACATACACACACCCACATATCGCACCCTGAATGCTTACTTCTGGGAACCAACACCAATGAAATAACTCAGCAGAGGGACAAAAGGATGCAAAGACACCCATTGGGTGTGTGTAAGGCACCCAGTGCAGGCGAGCTCAGCCGAGGGCTGTGTAAGTTGCCACGTGTACATCAAAAAGGACACAACACTTATATGCTCTGCTCAGACTCAAAAAAGTGTGCACACATTCTGGCAAGATCTAGAAAGGAAAGAAAACACACTAGTGAAAATGGCGATGCAAGCAGTCAGGACATGAGTAAATTACCTGAACAGAAGGAAATTACATCTAGTGTTCAAGAGAGGCTGCGGTGACACACAGGGGTGTAGGTGTCTCCAGCACTCCTGCCAGCGGGAGCAAGCGGTCAGCTGACACAAGAGGAGGCCCCTCGGCAAAGGGGGTGGGTCACTTTTTGTGAAGCTTTGGCTCATTTCTTCGGCTACTCTGTTCTGGGGCCTGATTTGTTAGTTCTAAAATCACAGAATGTGGTTCACAGCCTCCATGAGAGCCAAAAGCAGGGAATGCCAAATCCAGGAGAAAATGGTCCTTTCACACAGGCAAGCAGGGAAGGCTTCCTGGAAGAGGAGGTGTGAGCCGGTCCTAGGCAGGACAGAACCCAGGTGGACGGCTTTCTGCAGCTAGAAAGCTGGGAGGTCCTGACCGGGATGCCAGATCTCACCTCATCCTGCAGAGCTTCCCTGAAGCCCCCCAGTAAAAAGTTTCATATCACCCATCAAAAAAGAATTTAGAGGCGAGGATAGTCTAGGGAATAGTGTGATCAGAGACAGAGAAATAGAAAAGAGAAATTTAGCTGGACAGTGGCAAAGAAGCCAGAGGCAATAAGATGGAGTCCTGGCCATGGAGACCTGACCACGTGGCCTTCAGTGCTGACCACAGGGCTCAAATGAACTGTTCTGTCTTCCTTAGGCGTCTGCTGTGCGACCCAAAGCAAGACAAACTCAGGCAGCAAGAACTGGCGGGCCGTGCAGCCAGACAGCGCTGACTCACACACCAGTAGGTTCTCCCAACAACCTTCTAAAGTTCAAATGCTGGAGTAATTGCTCGAGATAAAAGAAAAAACTGCTTCCACTGAGTATTTTTTCCTGTAAAATAGAGCAAATATTGAGAAACAGTTGCTGATGGCAAAAGTCAAAAGTAATTCTTTAAAGAAGATACGATCGCAATGCTGTGCAGAGTTTATTTAGCGCGCCGATGAGAGAGGGAAGTAGCAAGATGTCCCAGCCGGGAGACGGCCGAGCCCTGGCCACGCGAGCCCGCAGAGATGCGCTCATACGTCTGCTCAGAGCCACAGCCACTGCTGTCAGCCCCAGAGCAGCTGACCCCGGGGCCAGCAGGCCGGGCAGGTTGGGGCGGTCACCGCAGCCTGGGCATCCAAGGCTCTCAGGTGGGCCAACCTCCCGGAGGCCTCCACGAGGCGCGTGGCACTAACCCAGGGTGCTCGTCCTGGCCTCTCCCTGGAGTCACCCGAACAGTACGCACGCAGTCCCCATCTGGAAAGTCACCGCAGCTGAATCTGCTGGTCAGCAGGACTGGGGCAAACCTCCTGAGGTGACTCAGAGGAGCAGCCGGGACTGAGATCCAGCAGGCCACACGATAAAACCCCTCACCCCCACCGCGCCACGGCTAAGCCGCCAGTCTCGTGGGGCCCTGTCCCCACGTGCTCCTCAAAATGAACCTTTGGTAGAGACCATCAAACACGCATGTTCACTCCCTGGCCGACTTGGCAAATGTCCTGTGGTGAGTTAAAATCTCCTGGGGTTGGGGGGCAGAGGGAGGTCGCCGTCAATTCACTGAGCAGCTGTGAGCTGAGCACAGGAAGCGGGAGCAGATGCCCACAGAGGCTGTGCTGAGAGGCACCGACGGGTGGGTGCCTCCTAATCCAGGATCCTGTCAAAGAGAGACAGAGGGACACCGCTGCACAGCAGCTAGCGATTAACCAACCATCTTTGGGCTGGATGCTGTCCCGTCTGCTCCTGCTCTCCGTCCCCATGCCCCCGACCCCACCTCTCCACACATACTTACTGCAGGCCGCACAGGTGAAGCACGCATCGTGGTAGAGGTTCCCCATGGCCTGGCAGGCCTGGCCGGCCCCAAACACCCCTTTGCTGCATTTCACACAGGCTCCTGTGAGGTGAGAACACACCAGTGAGTCAAGAGGGAAACAGTGGGAGGCCCATCCCCCACAACTGGCCCACTGCCAGCTGGGTTACTCCTCTGCAACGCCCTTGTCTCCTGCCCTTGTTCTATCAGGTTGGAAGGGCCCCTGGACTGGACTTCAAGCCACCCCTCCCCCGCCCTGTCCCTACTGCAGGCTGACGTGCAGAGTGCCTCTGCCGAAGTTTTCACTGGCCCAAAGTTCCCACTTTGAGAACTTTGGCACCATGATTATAACATGCCAAGCACACAGGTCAGGTAGTGTCCACTAAATTACTTCCTTTAATTCTCAGTGGTCACCACCAACTAGGATTTACTGTGCTCACTTTCTTCAAAAAGTTCTGCGCCCCCCGCTCCACTTGGTCAGACTGCAAGTCACGGCCATTCCTCACCTGTCACCTGGCCCCTCTGCTCCCATCAGGCCTGCTGGGTCCCAGCTATCAGCCCTCGCTGCTCCCCTGCCTGCACCCTCAGCCCAGTCCTGCCCTCGGGGCCTCAGATCTCCCTCAGGACCGGCTCCATGACTCCTCCTCCCCATGGGCTCTCTCTGAAGCAACAGGACAATCCAGGAAGGCTCCAACCTCAGGCCCCAGGGCCCTGTTAGTCCTCCCAGCACCTCTCTTATTCAGGAAAAAGAGGGTAGTCTACCTGCTCGGTCTGTCCCCAGGAGCTGCCGTCAAGACTGCTCTGTCAACCAAAAACTCTGAGGAGCTGCCCTGTCTCAGCCACCAAGGGCCTTCGGTGTTCTGAGCCCAGAACACAAGTAGTTAGGAGCTAAGAGACTCGTGGGGTTATTTGAACTCCGAGCCCCCACTTTGATCTATAAAGTGGGGGTAGCAGTCGCACCACCTCAGGGTACAGATTCCACAGGCAGACTTCAACCCCCCAGCAAGTTCCCCAAGGCCCCCTCCCTTGCACCTTCTCGCACCGGCTGAGACATTGCTTGTGCAGGTAGGATGAGCCCCCCAGACAGCCCCCAGAGGCTGCTGGGCCTCGCCGGCAGCAAAGTTCCTAGTGTCCCCTTGCTGTGAAACTGAAAATCTTGAGGCGTTCAGAGGCCTCAGCATTTCTCTTCCTCTCATTATCTCACATACAACTCGGGCTGCTCTTAAATCAAGAAACATCAGTTTGAGGCAAACTGCACTCCTCCAGGGACACCGCAGAGCTCGCCAGCTAGCGGGAAGAGGCAGCTTCCCCACCCCACTCCTTTAAGGCTGCTCACGCCAAAACCCCTGGCACTGCCAGCTGCTCTAGCAGCCAGGCCCATGGGGCCCCTGGGCAGCACCTGGATTGGGGAGTACCGGGTGTGGGAGTGATGGTGTTGGCAGTGGACACCACTGGACACAGCACCTGCTTGTGGCCCGAGTGACAGGATCTTATCCTAACCGTGGCCTCTGCAGGGATTCAACAGAGAGCCGATGAGCTGAGCCATTTCCCGTGCAGCTCCCGAGGGGCCTTTCCTCTTCCCTGCCTCCCCAACACACATGCCCTTGCGCCCCCTGTTCAACCTCTGCCCCTCCAGAAGCATGTTCTTTTCACAGAGGTCTAGAGTCTTGTTCCTCTGTGAACAGCCTCACAACTGACAACGTGCATGGAGTATGCTGTCCGCAACATACACAAAACAGGGAAAGGTGACATGCATGGCCACTGAGCGCTGGCTGTGGCACCGTTCAAATGTGACGCTGGGAGAATGCTCTCCTGAGAACCACCACCTGGAAGGCAATGGCAGGTATCCGTTCCACCTCCAGGTGATTCCCAGGTCCCTTCCAGACCCCTGTCCCCAAGCCCCTAGTTGAGCTGACTCTAACACTTTTCAAAGAGTAGCAAAGGCTGGTTGGCCAGTCAGCCACTAACATGCTCGAAGCCACCCCAAAGGCAACCTCACTGGCTCCCTGGCAACCATGGCGCGGCCCCTTGGCTCAGCCCCCTGCAGAAATGTAAGCTGGAGCGCAGAGGTGCTCAACAGCATGGTCGGCCCTCCCACCCACCCTCCGAGAGGACACAGGAAGAGGCCAGTCCTCAAAACAGCTTGCCAAAGACAAAGACAGAGTAGCGTTCACAAGTCGGGGGGGCTGCTGACTCAGAGTGAAGAACTGGTCTCACCTGGGTTTGACGAGTGAAACAGACCCCGTCTCACTTCTGCGGGCAGAGCCAATGGCAAGATGAACAGCCCCTCCCAGAGGCTTCCCCCTCGCCACCTCGCTCTCCCCGTTTCCTCTCGGTGGGGGGCTGTGACCTACAGACCTCGGCCTCCCCCTCGCTCACGCCTGCAGCTCAGCCCCTTCTGAGCGCTGACATCCTTTCTCACCGCTCTCCCACCAGCACAGACACAAAGTGAGGAAGGCAGCCACTGGGGTGCTCGCCTATCAGGCAGAGAGCACTGAGGGTCCCCCGAGAAGCCAAGTAGGTAGGAAAATGTTTCACCCTGTGCTTGGGGCAAAGGGGTAGAAAACGACTTCGTGGGCAGGAGATAGATGTATCCTTCCTTTGGTAGGAAAAAAAATGGAAAAAGTAAATTTTCCATTCTAAGAAATAATGTACCTGCCAGACCCTGGGCTGGGACATTCGTCCCAGGTGGGTGCTGCCACCCTCTTGCTCAGCTTCCCTAAGTCCCTGTACCCCGGGGGTGGTCTCTCCACTGGACGTTGGAGAGAACACCTGAGCCTGGGTTCTGACCCAAAGGTCCTGTTTGCCCCACCTGGTTGTCAGCTGTGGCTGTTTCTGCCACGTATGTGGGATCCCCCAGAAAGAGAGGGGTTCCTTCCTTATCCCCCACGCACTTCCTGTTCAGGGGTTCAGACCCAAGACCAGCCCCAGCGCCCTGCTGACCACCATTCTGCCCAGGCCCGCACACACGGGCTGTCTCCAGAGTGCAGACTCTTCATCTGGCTGCTCCCTCTTACATCATTGCTGTGGGCTTCTTCTGTGTACCAGGAGTCCCTTATCTTTCATTACAGAGATGCACTGCTGTGTGGGGACCACAATTTGTTTATCCACTCACCACTGACAGACATCACCTAATTTAGGGCAGAGGCAAATAAAGTGACTTATGTACCGTGTTTATCTAGACAGCTATCTCCTTTGCTCTGCACCAAAGACTGGGACGAGCTGGCTGGGTCTAAACAACAGGTGTTTAACTTTTTAAGAAACTGCCAAACCGTTTTCTAAGTAGATCATCAGATCTATTCTCACCTTCCCACCAGCAGCGTAGAGTTCTAGTTTCCCCACACTTAGATGACCGTCTTAAACCCTGTCCATTCTAGCAGGCATGTAGTGGGACCTCCCTGCGGCTTTGACGGGCTTTGCTCTAATGCCTCGATGTGGCACCCGGCAACTTTTCATGTGCTACTTGATGTCCGACAGCGTCTTTGCTGAAGTGCTTGTTCAAATCTTTTTGTTGAGTTATGAGATTTTCTTACACAATCAGGAAACAAGTCCTTTATCAGTTACCTGCGTGGGAAATCTTTGCTAGAGCTCTATAAACTCCACTCCCTTGGTCTCCTGGGACTGTCAGCTGCTTGATTTCAACTTCAGGAGTGTCTGGGGTCAGCCTCACTGCTCCCTCCAGTGCCAAGACCAGAAACCCTCCCAAGGAGTAAGCCACAGCAGTCACGGCCCAGCTTCACTGGCTTCTGCTCCCTTGAAAATCACTGTCCCTTGTAGCCTGAGTCACTGTCTTGACAATTGTGGGTGTGTATCTCGTCTGATTTTTTGTTTTTTTTAATTTTTTGGGGGGTATTTGGGACAGGATGTTAATCTAGTCCCTGTTACCCTCTCTTTAGAATGGGCATTATTAAGCTTCATCTGTGCCAAGTATTATTTTACACAAGTAAGATATGTTTCCTTAGTTCACAGTAATCCCACAAGGTAGGTGTTATCAATTTACAGATGAAAAAACTGAAGTTTAACGATTAAGCAGAATACCCAAAGGGGGCGGACGCTACCTCCGGGTCCTTCCCACGGCAGGGGGAAGAAAGTGAGGGGCAAGAGGAGGTCCAACGACTTGAAACTCAGCACTTCCACATCACAGGCACAAACGAATCCATAAAACCAGCTCACTGGTCAGAGCAGAACCGTTGCCTGGCTGCAGCTTATAGACAGAGGCCAAGTGCACCCCACCTCCCCGAGCGTGGCCTGGGGGTCGTGGCGTGGAGGGATCCTGCAGAAAGTGTGTGTGCTTTAGGGCCTCACTTCACATGATTATGTGGGAGCTTAGGAGGCTGGGTGGGGCTTGAAAGATCACTGGGAGCCAGTAGAATGGGGATTTTCCTTTATTTTTAACAGGATGTTCATCACTTTGGTTTTTCCTTTCTGATACTTTTGTTAGTAGGATTTATTTTTTAGAAGTCTTAGATGCATATTTAGATGCACAGGAAAATTGAGCGGGTGGCAGAGAGATTTCCCGTACACCTGCTGCCTTCCCCATCGTACACCAGGGGGGTTGCACTAGCTAAGACTGCGAACCTACACCAACACATTGCAGCACCCGAAGTCCACAGCTTCCAGGAGGGTTCACTCTTGGTAACGGGCATCCTGTAAGTCTGGACTAATGCAGAAGGTCCCGTACACTGCACGCAGAATTGATTCACTGCCCTGATTCGCTGGCTCCACCCACTCAGCCCTCCCAGCTCCTGGCAACCATTCATCTTTCTGTTGTCGCCACGGTTTTGCTTTTTCTGACCTGTTAAATGTGGAAATCACACAGACGGCATCTTGCCCTGAGTAATCTGCTTCTCAGGTTGTTCATATCGTTCCACGACTTGCTGACTCATTTCTTTCTAGTGCTGAGTAATATTCCATCGCCTGGATGTGCCTCCGCTGAGCTAGCCACTCACCTGCTGAAGGACGTCTCTGCTTATTCCAGGTCTAGGCAATTACGAACCGCGCTGCCAGATAAAACATCCGGGAGAAAATTTTGTGTGAAGATAATCTTTCAGCTCATGTGAGTAAATAAATATCAAAGAGTGTGA